CCCCCAGCAGCTTACACCACATGCAGGACAACTAAGGGAGGATTCAGGGTCAGCTGATCCAGCCCTAACTATATGCTTTAGCAAAAAGGAAAGTTTAAAGACTAAGCTTAGAGTTAGAGCAGCTGCCTGTCCCTGATCCTGATTATGTCCAAGCTCTGTTCCTGTTAAAAGTAATTTCTTCCTCCCCGCTGTCACAAAGTGCTGATCCTCGGTGGGTTTTCTCTCTAATATTATAGTCTTTACAATAAAAAGCACATTGAGATGGGAGTTGCTGTAAATTGGTACTTTCCAGATAAAACTGAATTAGTCACAAGATATTACGATAAAGTTTTCCAAGTCATGAGAGCGTGGGTGTTATTCATACCTCTCCACACACTCCACCAGCAGGCCGGCAGTAGAAAGAGCATTTTGGACGTGCGACAGCCACTTTGAATTCTCCAGCTTACTGAGCCAGCGGTCCATGTTGTTGGACTCGTCGCCACAAGCCTCCACCAGTTTAATGAGGCTCTCCTGGAGAGCTTTACCCCTGCACACATATGAGGCATGTGTAGTGAAGCAAGTTTGACAAATCAGTATTATCAGACAGTCAGCAAACACACCTTTCCATCTGTTTGTGAAATCTCTTCCAGCGGTCGTAGAACGATTTCGACTCAAACCCTCCGCCTGTCATCCTGGCCTGTTGAGCCTGCTGCATGGAGCGAGTGTCAATTATGTAGCCTTTGTCCGAACCCTCAATCACAGCCTGGAGGAGCAGCTCATCTTCCTTGCAGCGCTTCCTATTGGCTCCTAGCAGCGGCTGACTGCTGCGCATGATGACCTACAACATTTTTCATCCTGTTAACAATGTTCAGTCAAATGTGCCTTAACCATAACAGTTGTTTTTTAATTTGGGACTTTAAATTCTTTTATTTTCGTATGATTGCTTTGATTTTGGCTCTCTCGTATTTTGTATCATTATGGAACAGAGATGGGCAGTAACGCGTAATCCGATTACTTTTTTCAAGTAACGAGTAAAGTAAGGGATTACTATTGCAAAAAC